ACCTTCAGCTATTGGAGTGCTCACCCCCCAACAAAGCGGACCACTTTATTTTTTTTTATTTTTATTTTTTATTTAAATTCAGTTAAGTAACATATAATATGTTATTAGTTTCAGAGGTAGAGGTCAGTGATTTCATCAGTCTTACATAATACCCAGTAAAGCAGAAGACTTTAGAGGGAAAAGGAATCGTAAGTAATGTCTTAAATAGATCAATGCTCTTACTTTACAGATGAGGATTCAGAGGTCTGAGAGGAGTAGAGTTTAAATGATTTGCTCAAAGTCATACAGCAAATTAATGGCAAAGCCAAGCAAAAAATTCAGCCAGACTGCTGACTCACTCTATGCTGCCCCCCTGCCCCTGCATTATAACCTACTTCCTTTCTTAAATCTCCACCATTTGAATTTTGGTCTTTCTCTTTTACAGCAGAGAGAGAAGTAGATGATTGAAGCTTTGCTGACTAGGGTAGAGGAAGAGGTGTTTAAATTGATCAAGTCCAAGGGTTCAGATTTGTAAGCTCCTTGAAGACAATTTTGAACTCCCTTTCAAGATTCTTTCCAAGCCTCCAGGCGGATGCCGACTGAGTCTAGTACTGACTGTGGAGTGGAGGGATCGGCCAGCAGCAGCAGGGGTAACGAGTGCTGCTACATTTTTCCCGCAATTATCCCTGTTCATAACTGAAGAGCTCTCCAAAACATCAACATTAAAAGACTGTAGTTTGAGATAGGTCTTGAGTGCTTCATAGGACACCCTTTGGAAAACAACTGTTACAGAATGTTTATTTCTATGATCAAAGACAGAGATGCTGCTTCCACAATGTACTTAAATATTTACATCTCCATCTCCCTTTCTAAGCTGCCCAAAGCAGGCCAAGTCTTTTAATCGCTGTGACCAAGCAGAATGCAGGTGCACCATATATAGTAGGGAGCCTATATATGATTGTTGAATGAATGAACAAAATAATTTTATCCATAACTCTCTTAACAATTTATGCCTTAATGGAAAAAAAAAAAATCCCTGGGGTGCCTGGGTGGCTTAGTCGGTTAAGTGTCCCACTCTTGATTTTGGCTCAGGTCATGATCTCAGGGTCGTGGGATCGAGCCCCAAGCCTAGCTCCATGCTGGCCATGGAACCTGCTTAGGATTCTTTCTCTCCCACTCCCTCTGGCCTCCCCCCCCCGCCCCCCCCTCAGCTCTCTCTCTAAAACAAAAAATAATAAAATTAATAAAATTAAATTAAAATCTTTGAAGAAAAAATCCCTAATAAATCAAGTTCCAAATATTACTTTTCTTCCCTGACTTAGACCCTCAATTGCCCTCCTTTCTGCCTAGATTTCCACTAAGCTAATTGAATCCTTTATTTTGCCCTTCCTTATAACTTTTCATGATCTAGAACACTCTACAGATGACTCATTAAAGGAACTGTTTACAATATTTTTTAACTTCGTGAACTAAAATGTAACAAAATATATAAGGTAATGCAAATATATTGGGAGAGACAACCTAATCAAAGTCACAAAACTTTGTTGGTAGATTTTTATAAACACTAATATGTATGAACAGATGTTTTTTGATAGTAAAAGAATTTTTCTCTCTCTCAAGAGTCCAAGATTTTTTTCATTCCCTTTTATTAAAAAGGGGGGAACATTGATTTGCTGTTTTCCTAGATGTCACCTTGTTCTTCTTCCTTTCACATATTTTAAGAAACTTTCATCTGAGTTGTTCTTATCATCATGTGTATTTCTCTGTTTGAACTGGAAGCTCTTTAGGACAAAGATTGTCCTCTACATATCAATGGAGTGATATTTATTTTTAGTGCTCAGTACTTCTGAAACCTCTTCTTTTTTTTTTTTTTTTCAGAGAAGCTGCAATAGTCATAGGATAATACTACTCAAAAAAGTAGATCATGACATGAGAAATTAAATAGTCTCATAGTATAGAAATATGGAAAAAATGCAATAAAAAACAGAGGTTATATATGAGGTTAGGTCTGAGTCAGTTACTGAAGAGGTATGGGGTGATAAAAAGGGGATATGTTATTAGGAAATAACTCCTTTGGGAGGTGGAGGCATTGGGAAGAAAATGAAATTCAATAACCATTTGAGTACTGAGTCATGGTTGGGAAGGATTCAGTGATAGGGAAGACATGACTCCCAGCCTCCTGCAGTGAAGGAGACACACAAGTACATACAACTAAAAGGCAAAACAGACCAGGATAAGGCAATAAAGTTTCAGACAAAGGTCATTCTAGGAAAATTTTTAGAAAAATACTATTTTACTCATGAAGGGTAAACATTATCCAGAGAACTCAACATTCTCATGTATGAAGCTGCTTTTATTGGCTCCCTGAAGGCAAGAGGGCTATTATTTCCTCAAATCGGAAGCATGCCTCATTTTGTACATCTATCTTTTAGTTTTTTATTTACTGCTTTCCTAAACTTGGGGACACATAGAATTGTACTTAAGATTTTAGGTTACCATTTAAACACTGTGAATGTGATTTCTTAAGATACACATTTTGGGGCGCCTGGGTGGCTCAGTCGTTAAGCGTCTGTCTTCGGCTCAGGTCATGATCCCAGGGTCCTGGGATCGAGTCCCGCATCAGGCTCCCTGCTCGGTGGGGAGTCTGCTTCTCCCTCTCCCTCTGCCTCTGCTTGTGTGCTCTCTCTCTCCTTCTCTGTCAAATAAATAAATAAAATCTTTAAAAAAAAGATACACATTTTGTTTTAAAGATTTATTTATTTATTTATTTATTGGGGGGGGATGGGCAGAGGGAGAGGGAGAGAATCTCAAGCAGACTCCCCGCTGAGCACAGCTCGTGTCCCACCTTTGATATCTGGCACACAAAACACAAACAGGAAAAGCCTTCCGTGTGCTTTAATGAATCCCACCAACTGGAGAACATGACCTGAGCCAAAGTCAAGAGTCTGACACTTAACCCATGGAGGCATCCCAAGATACACATTTTTATTAAGTGAATCTCTATCACTTTTTGAAATACGCCTTGCACTAATGAATCTTGTAACATCAAAGATTCACAGCTAAAAGGAATCCCCATACAATACATGGCCAGCCTAAAGAATTCTTAACAGTACCCAGTCAAAAAGTCAAATACTATAGCTGGACTAACAGTAGATTTCTAAAGTTATTATGGTATTAGAAGGATTCACTTTAGATTTTTTAATTTCTAATGATAGCACAGTATAATGCCAATAGCTCTTGATTTTCTTGCTATGTAATAACCAGTGACCACTGATGGTAATGTGGAACATTTCCTGCTAGTTATTCATTGACTTAAAAAAAAAAAAAAATGGCACTTTTTCCAGAGACTGGGCAGGAGATAAGATGTCAAGAAGTAATAAGTAGCAAAATGAAAGAGGAGAATGCAAAGGAACCAAAAAGAGAAAACATTAAAGTGATGTGTTGTTTTATTTTCCTTGTGTATGCAGATGAACAGGAAAATTATAGCAGTAATTGCAGACTTCTTTTCAGCAAAGACAGAATGGCCTTGGGGAATTAGAGTATGAGAGAAAATGTCCAATGAAACTGCATTCTCATCCAGGCCCCACCTGACTTGCTGGATATGGCTTTGGCCAAGGTCATTTACCCTTTCTGTGCCTTAGATTCCTTAAATGTTGAAAGAGATGGTTTGCTTTTTTTTTTTTTTTTTAAGATTTTATTTATTTATTTGACAGAGAGAGATAGCGAGAGCAGGAACACAAGCAGGGGGAGTGGGAGAGGGAGAAGCAGGCTTCCCACCCAGCAGGAGCCAGATGTGGGACTCGATCCCAGGACACTGGGATCATGACCCGAGCCGAGGCAGACGCTTAACAACTGAGCCACCTAGGCGCCGGAGATGGTTTGCTTCTTTGAACTACTGGAAAGATAAATGAGATAAAGCTTCAGGAGGCACCCAAGACTGGTCAGAAAAGGTGTTATAGGAATATCAAGTAGTACTATTATTATTGAACTGTGTATCCTGTTGGAATGAGTCATCTTGCTGTGAAGATGCATAAGCAATTTCGAGTGTGGCAGAGGACCAGAGACAAAGAGAAGAGGCAAGTACTCCTAGGTGGGGTTAGGGGTGATTTCAGTTGCATGGAAATCTGCCCTTTGCTTGTTTAAAGAACAAAAAAGGGGTGGGGTACAGAGGAAACAAGACTTTTAAAATAAGTACAGCAATGCGGCTCTACAAATAGACTTTTTAAATACTAGAGCTAGTTTGAATCCAGGCTTTGTCACTTACTACTGTGACCTTGGGCAAGTTACGGTTTCTTTAAACTTCGTTTTTTGCATCTGTAAAATGGGGATTAATTATCATAGTATCCATAGGGTTGTTGTGGGGATTTTAAAATGTGCACCGTCGCAAGGACTCTATAAGTTGGAATATCATTGTAATTTATGGGAGATATGGGAAAGTAGAAATCCAGATTGATAATAATCGAATCTTTAAAAAAAAAATAAGAGAAAAAGTCAAGGTTTTATTTTATAAAACATCATATGATTTAAGGGGCCTAGGAAGAGGCAAACTTGTTTTATCAAGTCTGAATCTACTCATATTTCATGGGCCCACGGTAACTAGTCAAACCTCTGATATCTGGCACACAAAACACAAACAGGAAAAGCCTTCCGTGTGCTTTAATGAAACAGTTTTCTATTTTAAAGTGATATATATATATGCATTTTTGAAAAATCTCTGATATCCAAGAGCTCTAAAAAAACAAAGCTCAGCTGCTGTGTTCCTGTTGTTCTAAAGAGAGAGCAATGTGGGGCGCAGGGATTACGCTCCCTTTGACTCCCGCTCTAGGCTGGGAAGCCTTCGGGCAAAGCCCCGGGGGCAGGACGCGGTGTTTTTTTTTTGTTTTTTTTTTTTCTATCGATCCCGGAACCCTCGTTCGGGCGGGGTGGGGGCGCGAGGGAGGGGCGCGAGGGAGGGGTCTGGCCGCGGGGCGCCGCGCCACTCGCCCATCCCCCGAGCGCGCGGCGGGGCGGCCGGCCGGCGGCCGCGGAGGATGCGGAGGGGCGGCGACGCGGGCCCGACCCAGCCGGGGCGGCGGGGCGGGCGCCGCCCGAGGGGGTAGGGCGCGCGCGGGGGCGCGCTGGGCCGGGGAGGCGCGCTCCGGCGGCGCTCGCTCCGCGCTCCCTGCGCTCGCTCGCTCGCTCCCTCCTCCCTCGGCAGCCGGGGCGGCAGGCAGGAGAAGGCGGCGGCGGCGGCGGCGGCTGGCGATCAGACATGGCGGCGGATCTAAACCTGGAGTGGATCTGCTCCCTGCCCCGGTCCTGGACTTACGGGATCACCAGGGGCGGCCGAGTCTTCTTCATCAAGTAAAGAACAGGGGGCGGCGCGGTGGACCGGAGGGTGCGGGAGGCTGGCGGGAGGGAAGAGGGAGCCGGGTCTGCGCCGCTTCAGCTCCTCCGGCGCCCCCACTCACGCTCCGTCTCTGCCCCTTCTCTCATCCGTGCAGCGAGGAGGCGAAGAGCACCACCTGGCTGCACCCCGTCACCGGCGAGGCCGTGGTTACCGGACACCGGCGGCAGAGCACAGGTAACGCTGAGCCCGGCCGGGCCCGAGCGGAGTTGGCTCCGCCGGGAGGAGGCGGCAGAGCCCGGCCGCCCGGCCGCCTCCCCGCAACCTGCCCCCAGCCGCCGTCCCCGGGAGGCGGCGAGGTGGGGCGGAGGCCGGCGGGGCGGCCGCAGGTAGAGGGGCCGCGGGAGTTCTCTCGAGTCTCCGAACGCTTCTCTCTCCTGAGCCTTCCATCGCCACTTGGAGACGGCGCCCTCTTCCTGGGCCCTCTCCCCCTTCCCAACCTGGACACCTCCCGCCGCCGCCCCGACGCCCCCAGGGAGGCCGACTCCCCTCTCCCAGGAATCTGTGATCCCGAGTTTTTCCTCCCGCAGCCACTCCTGAATCCATCCACCACCACCCTCTCCCGCTGACCTCACCCCCTTTCACCCTTTAGGAAGTCCTTTCCCACTGCCCTCCCTGCAGCCCCGGACCCTGGCACTCGTCCGCCGGGATAATGGTAGCCACATCTTCTCCATGCTCCCCGGACGACTGCCTCCGGTCGTGCGGCTCCCTCCTCCTCCTAGGTGGGACTTGTGGGTAGGTGACTGATGGAGGAGGAGGAGGAGAGGAGTCTGGGGGGGCTGCGATCCTCTGTGTGACAGTGAATCGCTCGGGAAACGCTTGGCGCTTTTCCTCCGCCGCCAGAGCGGCAGCCGGAGCCGGAGGAGGCATTTGCAGCTGCAGCTGCTGGCCGGCGAGATTCAAAGTCCCCGGCAGCGGCGGAGAGGTTGCACGGACCGCCAGGAGGCGGTGGGTGTGCTAGGGGTGTCCCGCGTGTGGGCATTTGTGCCCTAATTGGAGAGGGTCGGCGGGGAAGCGGATCTCCGGTCGGTGCCTTTGCTAGCTTGTTTGAACACTGAATATGAGTCGAGCTGGAGAAAGGTTGATTGTAGCTTCAGTGCTGGTCTGGCTTTCTTTTGTCATTCTTTGTTTACATTCGTGAAACTTGTTTGTCTTTGAAATGTAACATGTGTTCTCTTACTGGCCTGCCTCTCTTTCTGGTAATCGGAAAGGCTTGAGAATTGTTTGGGTCGAAGGTGAGGCTGGCTTCAGCAGTCCTCTGGGATACTTGCTCTCCAACTCTGAGATTCGGTGAGTCTCTTAGAGTTGCCAGGATGTTGAACAAGCATGCCTTTTCTGTTAAATTCTGGAGTTCAGTGAAGTGACTGATTTCCATATTTGCAAAAAGGTGGAGGAGGAAAGGGAAAGCTGGTGTAGCAAGCATGATGAGGTTACATTTTTAAGGCATTTCTGACTAACACACTGTCATATTTCTTACCTCCCCGCTGCAGTCTCTGACTTACGTATACCTTTCAGTGTTTTGCATATATATTTCAATTCTCATGGCCTCTTTGCGTTATGGATGATGAACTTATTTCACAAAAGACAATATGGTATTTAAATTATTTACCCTAATCATCTTGTGGGATTATTTCATGCTTATTTTGGTTATGTGTAATATGAATTTGTATCCTGTTTACCCCCACAGGTTTGAAAATATTAACACTACAGAAAAATTTTATTCTTTTTTTGGTTTCACATTAATTTCTAAGACACGATCCTTTTTTTTTTTTTTTTCTGGTTTGGTTTACTTTGCTTTGACTTTGTGGTTTTGTACACACATCATGGGTTTTTATTTCAGAGAGATATGGTTAAATCCAAGCCACTTGTCATTAGTAATGTGTAGCATATAAATGACCATCATTCACCTGAATTGTTCCCAGGTTTATTACTTGAAACTTCACATCTCTTGAAGTCAAGTCTGTAGAAACATACATGTATTGACTATGTGATGTCAGAGCTCTTTCCCCCTAATTAAGGACTTAGGAAGTTCTTTCTTATCAGTGACACTTCCGGGATGGATTCATTTATGTAGCTGAAGTTGGGTCTTAAAATAGACACAGTACACCTAAGAAGCAGGTGTTGCCTTTAACGCAGGGGTGTTTTTGGTTTTTTTTTTTTTTTTGGCCAACCATCATGGGTATTTTACCTAGGATTAGAAGGCTTCCCTTGCTTTTTTTGGATGCCAGAGAGTAGTGCTTTCTCACTGATCATTAAAGTGTATAATCATGAGATAATCTCTAATATTGTTCATTGTTTTCTGGTGGCTTTAAATTTGAATCGCCATTTTCCCAAAAATGATATTTTGTTGACTATGAGTTTTGTTACTGGTCCAACATTTTTTTTTTTTTTTTAGAAATTTACTTAATAAATGAAAATAGCTGATCATGAAAATGAATAATTAAAATGGATTGAAACTTATTTTGCTATCCCATTGAAGTAATACTAACTGTGAAATGTATGTTTTTTAGATTTGCCTACTGGTTGGGAAGAAGCATATACTTTTGAAGGTGCAAGATACTATATAAAGTGAGTTTTTTAATTATGATTTTTTCCTACGTAATTTGAATGCTATAATTATTCTTCTGTTGAATAGTTGTATCTCTAGATATGATCATAATTTTTTAAGGTCTATCATATATTTATCCTTTATATAGTGTTGTAATTTTGAGAGGAAAGATGACACTTACATAGTTTTCTTATGTTATTTGCCTGGACATTCATGCATTTGGAAATTAGATCATTGATGGCCACAATTACATTTTTGGTCCTGGGTGATAGAGCATTACAGTATTTTGTCTTTAGCATGTTACCATATTTTTTTTTTTTCTTTTAAAGTGAATTCTCTTCATGTGTATTTTGACCAGAGCTGTTAATAAGAAGCAAAAGTGATGTGAAGCTAGGTTACAGTTGGATGAACAATGACAGGGCTGAAAGTAAAAACAAACAAATAGTAATTATTTCACAAGCATCTGTTGGAGCATTGTAATTTGCCTTAGTTTATTTAAATATAAGTTTTTAAAATACAAATGTTTTATGGTTGTTTGTGATTGAATAAAAGGCTTTCACTAGAGCTTACAAAGGAGAGATGACCAGTTAGTCCTGACTTTTAATTCTATAGAACATTGAACTAATTTCTATTCTGTGTTCATTTGGTAGTACTTGGAGACAAATCAACAATGCTTGAGGTCAACAGTATGTAGGAAATTTTTTTACCTCCCAAGGGGAAAATAAAGGTGGTTTTTATATTTGTTTTAAATTAGAAACGATTTACTTAAGAGCTTGTTTTAAAATTTTTTGTTGAATTTTAAGGAACTGAGGCTTGAAAGAATACTTAAATACAAGATTTGATTGAGATGTCAGTAGTTTATTAATAATAACAGATACCTAGCTAAAGTCACCTTTATTTCATTGGACCTAATAAGTTATTTTACTAAGTGATATTTTTAAGATCACACCATAATTCCATTAAATTATAATTATTTGTATGGTTTAAAAATTTTTCAGAATGATATTTATGTAAAATGTCAAGGGATATTTATAGGTATTAGGAATGATTACATTTGGATATAGAAATAGAGAAGGCAGAAGTAAGATCCAGGCATAGAGGATTTCATGATGTGATTGTTCTCTGGGTATTTTTCAGTTACATCTCTATTTGGAGATTGTGCTATACATTATTAGATGGCCTAAAAAATAAAGGCATAAGTGAAGTGCAGAGTCACCAAATATTTTCCTAGTGGCTATTTTCATCCTGTATTAAAGTGAGTTTGTATTGCCATGAAAAGGGATGCTTCTTTTTTTTGGATGTAGTATTGATATTTTTGAAGAAAGTTTTTTTCGATAGAGTTAATTTATTTTTATCCAATATAATTTTACTGTACATTAAGCCTAGCTAATCTTATAAGAATAGGAGTAACACTGTAATTCTCAATAATATTTTAATTCCTGTGAATATGTACATTCTTAGATGAACATTTATTCGATAGTACAAAATGTTATTTTGTGTGGGCTGAAAATGTTTTATTTCAGAACTGAGCTGTTAGAAAGACTGAATTTTCTTTTGTTCTAGTAGCCATTTTGATTAGATTTTCTTTTATGTTGACTTAAACAAATTAGAATCTTCTTTGAGTGTCATGCCCAAGTAAGTTTCTCAGGAAAATGAGGACAATATTAAGAAAGCTATAATAATTTTACTTTAATTCTGATGGCATTTTTAAATTACTGGGTTTTAATCATGTGATATTAGTAGACAACCAATAATTGTGCCTGAAAGTAGTAATAATTTATATTTGAAAGTGATTTGTTCTAAAATTGAGCATGTTATAGAAATATATCACTCATTAAACTTCTTCGAAGTAAAACGATCATTGACAAAAATACATGATTTGCTGAATGTTAGGTGCTACTCCTTTTTCTTTCTGGATGTATCAGACTAACTTCTTTTAAGATTAGTTAAATCGCTAATGTAGGCCATAATTTCCTAGAAATTTTTTGCTAACTTGTATATGAGCAACTAGGGATGCTTTATCGTTCTTATATGATAGGGGCACTACGTTTATCTTAAACTTTGCCATTTACCAAGTGCTTTCATATATACTGTCATGTCTGAATCTCATTTTAATCATAGAAGTAGTCAGAAGAATTACTATTTCCATTGTCACACCACATAATAAAACAACAGAAACATGCCTTTGGAACTTATAGGCTACAAAAACAGCAAGATGAGAAACAGCAGGAACGTGAACTATATTTAGAATGTTCAGAGAAGAAAGGATAGGAGTCTGAAGTAGGAAAATGATTAATGTTGGTGGATGTATTTCTCATTGTTGGTTCATTCTTAGATGAAGAAAGGATGTTATTGATCAAATTACAAGAAAGGTTGTGATATAGTGAACAGTGTGGGTTTTGTTCTCATGGGAAGAGGGAAGATAGATCAATAAAAGATGTGTTGATCCTCCTCCTAATCCTGATCTGGTGTTCCTGGGAGGTTCCCTTAACAAGAAGAAAGACCTAAAGAACTTGAGTTTCTATTTTTGTTCCCAAAGGTACATTTAACTCTCAGATTATTTCTCTTCTGAACAAATGTTGGTGGTTGTTCAAAATGGCACACTGCCAAAAAGAATTTATTTTTGGATAATACTTTGGTATTGACCATTGCATCTCTTGTGGTGGTAAGGTGAAAGAGGATTGGAGTTCGGGTAAGTCATAACAGCTGGGCTGTGTCTTGACCTTCTTAAAGACCATGGAGCTCAGTCTTCATGCCTTTAAATTAGGCTGGCTGGAAATGGCAACTTCTGAATTCCATCCCATTTTTAAATTTCTCTGGATTTTATAATATTTTGGGAATTTGTAGTAGTCTGCAAAATGATTAACTTAAGGGTCAGGAAGACATGATGTGAGAAATACGGAAAGCTCCTTAGCTTTCCTGTCATGCCAACTATTTTAAACTTTGTATAGATAACCACAGGTGAGTGTGAAGTGTGTAGTGCCAGAGTTGGGTGTGCTTTCTTTCTGTTGCTGCATTTTGTGCTTTGTAAGATACCTTCTCTGGAGAGCTGCGTCAACAAAGGACCTAATCGGAATTAAGAGTTGTATAGATTTGAATTGGATAATCAGTTTACTTTATATAATTTTTGAAATTGGTTCTTTAATGAAAGTTTACGGTTAGGTAAAAGAATATATGATATAGAGAATGTATTTTACTTTAAATCCATTTGTACAAAAGAATGTTAATATTTGGAAATTATTTATCATAAAGATAAATAATTTCTTTCTGAGAAGAATATTTTTTCTGTATACCTTAAGCTAGCCAGCTCAGAAATCATCACGTGTACGTATAAAAACACATATATACAGTGTTTGATTTGATTATTGGGTTTCTGTATTGCTTTTTAACAGTTAATTCGTGTTATTTATCTTTAGAAAGAATGCAGAAAACTATCAGTGAATTTTATAATTTATGAAGTGTAGCTTTAAATATCCAAATAACTTAGCTTATGAAGTACAGAGGCTAATCTTAATGTATTTGAAAGTTATAAAGCTTTCTGCTTACCCCTTGAAATTACTGCTTAATGACTCTGTAATGACAGGTCATGGTAGCTTAAAATGGATGTGTCACTATTCCTTTGTGCTTCAAAGCTTTAAGATGGTTAACTTAAAGTGCCAAGTAAATCTTAAAACAATGCTCTCTGAACAGTGAGAAACTTTGTTCTGATTATTTAAAGGTCATTGTCTTATGCGGCAGAATTGGGAATCAAAAAATGTCTTTGCAGGGTAATAAAAGTAGTATGTAAATTTTGTGAGGTTATATTTTCATATTGCTTTTTTTCTTGACTTAAAATTTAAGTTCTGAAAATTGAACTTTTTCTTAGATATGCAAATAGAGCAGTGTTTGAATTTTGACTAATGAAGTTTCATTTCAGTATCTGCGATAGCTGAATATAATGTGTGCTTGGAATTTCAAACCAACCTGCAGTGAAGGGAATTCTAGTTTGACATAGCCATTTAAGGTTGTAAGTGAGAAAATAAATGTGTTTCTTCACTGTTTGAACTATGAGCAAGGATAGGGAATGTAACATAACTGCCACCAAGAATCTTAGAATATATTACTACATATTTGATATTTAAAATTGTTGGGTACATTGATATTGTAATATATAATTGGGTATAGCAGTATAATGCTTCAGAACAATTCATGGATGTTATATTTCTTTTTTATATTCATAACAGAGTTTTAGGCTATAATATGTGATTATGTGTGTGAAGCAGTTTATGCTAATTCATTAGGTACAGCACAACTATGAACTATGGTTTCAAACTTCAAGGAGTCTGTAATATAGGAAAAAACAGGCAGTGTGTTAAAAGAGGGAGATGGTGGGAAAGATGGACTTACTTAGTACTAGGTCCTTCAGCATAGCATTAGATGAATTTAATCTTCACAGTGGCCTTTTATTGCTCTCTTTTTCCTTTTTTTTTTTTTTTTCCAGATGATGAAACTGAAGCTTAAAGAGGTTAAGGGCCTATTGTAGGTCATATAGCCTCACTACTAGTCACTAGCATTCAAATTAAGATCTCTGCACTAAAGCCCCTCTATACCTAAAAATACTGGGCATTAAAAACAGGCCCTATGATATGTATCTCTCCATAAGTGGGGTGCCTGACACTACAGGTTTTATTTCATAGAAACAAGTACAGTGGTTAGGTTAGTAGGCTGGCCTACAAATAAAAGCTTGTTTAACCCCCTAAAACTCTTGTGACTAGTATTATATTAACAGGGTCTTAGAATTTGGTCATTCATTTACAATCTCTCAGGAGTACTTAGTAAATGATGGGCACTGTTCCAGGTGCTCTACAATACAGTGAGGAGACTCTGCCTTCCTAGAGTCTATACTCTAGTAGTAGAAACAGACAAAACAAAAAATGGAGCAAATAGGTAATTTAAAAATACTATCTTCTTAAAGGAAATGTAGAGTGTTCTGTGACAGTTTAGGAAAGTTTCAATGATGAATTGCATTTAGAGTGTCAAG